GCAGGCCGAGCGGTGAGTCGAGTCAGCCGTTTCTGCCCCCCCCCCTTTTCCTTCTTCTCATGCTCTGCTCGTGTCTCGTCTTGTTTTTATGCTTTGTTTAGGCTTTGCCTCAAACGAAGCGCATATCTGTGACTTACGTGTTTGACTGAAATTCGGTTTTGGTTTCAGACAGATGACCACCAAGAATCTCGTTCGAAATTCGATGCGGCGCTGGAGACGCTCCGTGTAATCGGGGACCTGAGCCCCAACTTCGGCGATCCGTTGCGCATGTCCTCGCTGGCCGACGATGGCCAACGGCTATCTCACTCTCAGAGCACACAGACAGAACCGTACGAAGATAGCAGTGAAGAGGAGAGCGTTGAGGACGCTGCTGCTCAATCGGCCCTCCTGCCAAACTCCCATCGGCTGAAGTGCTTCACGTCAAATTTCAACTGCTGTTACAGAAAGTAAGTGACAGATCTGGTTTTTGCTCACTTTCTTCACACCTTGGCTCTTCCCGCATCGACGCGGGATTATCTTGCGAATAGCGTTGGTTTGCAATGATTTGACAATTCACTCTTTCCAAATTCAATTCATTAAAAACAGACAGCGATGAAATTAAGGGACCATATGTCAATCAAAAGTTTAATAATTTCTTATATTCAGTCACTACGTTAGTCGTTTCAGTAATGATATCTCCGGAAACCCGGAAACATCGGTTAGTGGAGGAGGAACAGATTTCTCTCAGAGAATAGAAGGTAAGCTTATAACTTGAGACAAGCTTGTCTTAAAGAAGGATATCTTCATCACGTTGGTGCCATTCAGGCGCTCTACGTGCATCCAGCAAATGCATGCTCACTGTTCATCCCTTTCATTGCCATGTCAGTTGTAACCAGATCTTGTCATATTGTTGGAGGTATGTTCGCGGATATCCCTTTCATTTATTCATTGACAGTGGCCTTACCACCTGCACATAATACGGTTATTAAAATCTTCATTACTGCATTGTCTTTAGCTGCCGCGTTCACAGTCGAAAACAGAAACGGTTTTATTTTTAACATTCGATGGGCTCTGAATCAGACGAGGCAGGTTTTTCCTGATTTTCATTTTTTGCTTAAAAAACGTCATTCGCAACGGTGCACGAAAGATATATATATAGCGGCGATTTTCAATAAAAATTCGACCTTCCAATGGAAACTGGAGCAGCAGACGAGCTCAATTCATTTGCCTGTATCCTGTTCCATTAACCGTTTTTCCTTGCACAAATCTGTGTTCGTTTCTCACCTCTATCGGCTGAACACGAACGGGTGAGGGCCGGCAGCAAGTGCGATTTCAGTGAGATTTAATACGGGTCAGCTGCAGCAGCTCTTCTCCGTACATTAAAGTTCATTGTCGCCTTCTTCTTTTTCGGAACGATCTACCAGTCCATGCCGTTTCTGGCTTGGGTCATTGATTTAGCATAACAATTGGAACGACTTGTCAGCGCCTTTCGAGGAAAATGGCGACCAATGACCGATCAGGGTTTAAAGATTAAACCATTTACGGCGAGGCGCCGTTGGCTTCGTATATTTTCTCTCAACCGTCAGAAAGCTACCGGAAGTAGATACTTAACTTGCGGCAGTAATCTGTTGTCTGGAAGCAGCGCCATAAGGCGAAGTTCGAATGACGTGGTTTTTGTTCGTCTTTACAATGTTTTTGTTTGTTTTTTTATTAGTGTGGTTTTTAGGCTGTCGAACGCCAAAGAACTCCTGCAGCAGGTGATGCCTTCACCGCAGGCATCTGGCGGCTGCACCGACGCGGAAAACGTGTACGAGGTGTACGGTCACGTCCAGAACCACGGCGTCTGTTGCGAGGTAGGAATCCTTCTGTGGTCATCACGTTCTAAGTCAGCGGTTTCCAAACCCCGGGTTTGAGGATGTTCTCGAAGTTCGTATGGGACTATCTGAAAAATTTTTTTTGGCGAAAATTGTTAAATTACGCAGTTTCTTGCGACACTTAATGAAGGAGTAGTCAGATAATTTGAAATGTCGTCATCAGCACTTTTCGATACACTTCCCGAAGAAGACGGCATCTCCAAAACATGTGTGCCCTGAATTTCTGTTCTTTGCGATTCCTATTTATCTTGATCCAGTGAAATTGTTCCTCTCATTCTGCCATCGATCTGGAGTTATTCCTACAGACCGTTTGTTCTCTCTTCAATTCATGTGTAACGTGTTTCTCTGGTGCAGCAGAGGTCGGTTGTTCTTGCAGTGCGTCCTGCCCATTGGCACTTTAACTTCATTATTCGGACAATGATACCTCAGATTCCTGGTTCTGCTTTTGTCCTCTTGTTTGTCTTCTTATCTTTTCTTCGTATTCCTAATGTACATCTTTCCATATGTTGTGTAGTCTGTAGTTGATGGATGGCATTTAGGCTTGGGGTTCACGTTTGGCGCACAGACGTTAATGCTGGGAGCGCACACTACTCGAGAACTTTTTCCTTCAAGTACAATGTGGCAGTTTCACAGATATGAACATTTTCATTTTTCCTAATGTTATTCATGCCATTTTCATTTTTCTGCTGATTTTGCATGGTCGGTTTTCAACTGCTGAGAAGATGAGTTGTCCCAAATAGACACTTCCTCAAGCCTAAGTCTGCTGACTTCAGCTGTATTTTTGAATAGTCTTCTTCAGGCTCATTTTCAGTCCTACCCTTATGCTAGCGTCATTTAACTCTTGGATTCATTTCTGGCGTTATTCTGATGTCCATGAGAGGATCAAACAGCCGGTGGCTTAAGTAGTATTCATTTATGTGCAGCCTTTCATTTTACTAACGAAGTGTCGTGAGAACCTTTTCTATGGCTGCGGTGAATAACTTCAGTGATAGTGCACATCACTCTCTCTGACGCTCTTTTTGATTTTAAAGTTGTTCGGGTTTTCGTGAAGCTATACAATTACAGTTGCATTCAAGTAAATCGTGGAAATGAGGTCTCTCCATTTTTTCTCGATTCCTGAATAGAGACTGAGTCGAAAGCCTTTTCGAACCGTAGCCAGAAAGGACATGTCTGAATTACTTTTTGTACCACGTGAAGATGATTCGTCGTACTAAATCCACCATGAGTACTGCTTTGGTATACATTGTCCAGTTTTTTTAAAAGTAATTGCAATAAAGTGAATAATCCTGTACGGCGAACATAATAAGGAGCGCGAATACTAGAAACCGATTAATCTAAAAGTATCTGCATAAATTCTCACGAACAGATTCGGTCTAAAAAATGATGTGTTGAAAAGTTTATAATTTTTTCCACTTGTTTATGTATCTTCCTACGAACGATCGCATTTTCAAGAATAGAAGACCGCAATCGTAATAATCATTACGTCTCATATTACCTAACCCAGCATCTGTTTCTTTTGGTACTTCAATTCATTCTGGAGTTGTGTAGCAGTTAAGTATTGTACCGTGGGAAATACCGGAGATTTGCATTCAGCTTAGACAAGAAAAACTGTTATAGCTTGTGTCCTACACTGTTATAGCTGTTGTGTGGTAACGATGATACTCTTTACACGAATTATGATAACAGCTTTTTCAGTGGGTCGTTGTGAGTAAGTAAGCGAATGAATGAATCAGAGGTAAAGGGAGGGGTGTATCGCACGACCTCGCGTTTGTCAGGCAGCAAAAGGATCGGTACCGAGCAGTGTTCTAAACTGAGGGCCACCGCTAAATGAACTTTACCATCGAACATGAAACCCAGCCAAATGCCTTCCGCAATCCACAGACGGATGAAATGAGATTTTTGATCTTTGATCACAAACAAGGGGTGTTCCATGGAAGACATTGACTCACCTTGGCGTAGTTCGGTACCGCAGTCTTTA